TTAATAGTGCAAGAAACGACACCCCACCCAGCACTCTGTTTAGCTTGGATGAAGCATGGACGCGGTGACAGCGCAAAGCGCCCTGGGCAGCGACAGGACCCGGTGCTATTCCTAAACCTCATCGCCTGCTGATTAGTTATGAGGCAATGGGCACAGAGCACTGCCTCAGTTGTGGCCTTTGAGGTGATGCTGTGTGCTGTGGGCTTGTTCCCTCCACTTTCTGCTGTGTGCGCCCAACCAGAGAACACTCCCTGCCGAGGGGTAGGTACAGGCAGTAAACAAACATTCTTGTCAGGTGATGGCGATCAATTAGGGCCCGAGTGGGAGTCCGCCTGTCACACCCAAGCTTCTGGAAGGCAGCTCCAGGCACCTGGGAGGCTGTGGAGAAAGGCCTCTCTCCCCTGTCTGTTTGGATGGCTGACTTTCCTTTTTCTGTTTCTGTTTGTCCTGGGAAGACAAATTCCAACAAAACCAAAAGGCTCCTTCGGAAGTCCAAGACCCTGAAAACAGATACTCTTTCTCCCACTCAGTTATTCAGAGATGATGGATCCAGGCTTTTCTGTGAAGCCTCTGGAGACAGCTGAGGAGGAGGACTGACCACCAGAAGCTCACAGGCTGGCTGCAGGGACAAGATCCTCAAACCAAGTGGCAGGGGAAACGGACAAGAGCAGATTCCATCCTTGAGGCCGTGTTGGATGAAAACAGCAGCACTGCTGTTAGTTCTTTGGGAATGGCCCATCTGCAGATGGAGCAACCAGCCACCACAGCCTCCTCTGCCCCAGCCGCCAGCAGAGGAGTGAATGAATGAGCAGCCCCGTTTCTACCAAGGACATGTGTTTTAAGTGAGACACAGAGGGAAGAACTGAGGTTCAGAAAGAGCTCAATTTCTGAGAGGTTGCTGTGGTAGAGCTGAGCCTGCAAGCCAGGCTTCTCCAGTTCTCAGCCTGTGCTGTTTACTACGGTGTCATTAACCCTCCGGGAAATGAGGAAACAAAGAATAAAGAAATAGAACTCAGGACCTAGCCGGTGTGGCTAAGTGGATAGAGTGTCGGCCTGTAGACACTCTAAAGTAGGGGTGTCGAACTCAATCAGAGAAGGGGCCAAAATCTAAAATCCAGCCTAAATCACGGGCCGAATGGTTTACTGAACAGTCATAAACTGTCATTGTGATGGAAACGCAGCGGAGTGCAATGATGACAGCGCGGTGCAGGCCACATTGCAAGGCCTGGCAGGACGGATTTGGCCCGCGGGCCTTGTGTTTGACACATGTGCTCTAAAGGGTCCCATGTTCAATTCAGGTCAAGGGCACATGCCTGGGTTTCGGGCTCAATCCCCACTAGGGGGCATGCAGGAGGCAGCTGATCAATGATTCTCTCTCATCACTGATGTTTTTATCTCCCTCTTCCTTCCTCTCTGAAATCAATAGAAATATATTATAAAATAAAATAAAATAAAAAGTGGAACTCAGAGCTGACCACAGGAACCACTCTGTGGAACTGCCTGGAATGTGTTAGCATGAATCTCCTAAGTGGAAGAAATCACTTAGAAGCAGGACCCAGTGTGGCCCTCAGCTCCTGATAGTGGTCAAGGGGTATGCCTCGGTTGCAGGCTGGATCCCCAGCCCAGGTCAGGGCCCATATGGGAGACAACCAATTGATGTATCTCTCTCACATCAATGTTTTTCTGTCTCTCCCCATCCCTTCTACTCTCTCTAAAAAATCTATGAAAAAGTATCCTCAGGTGAGGATTCTCAACAGCAAAAAGAGACAAGGAAATGACATACATGGCAACTCAGGGGAGCACTTATCTCTGGGAAGGACACAGGAGGTATGAGAAGAGAAAACACAAAGGTTATTGGTAAGATATTGGTAATAGTCCAGCCTTGGCTTGGGCAGTGGGTCCAGAAGTCTATGTGATGTTATTCAGCGAGCACACATACATAAACTACAGTCAAATCCAAGATGGGCTCCAATGGACCGATGGGGACCATGTGCCATGAAGCAGTGATTATGACTCATCCAGTTCTGTGAAACTAAGGCTCCATCAGTCAACTAATAACGAGGAAATCCTGGGCCCATTACATGCTAATTATATGGGCCAAGTTAAGTTGCTTAACAGAGCTTAATCTCCGTTTTCTTGACTGTGGGGAACTAAAATCCATGAGTCATTTTAGAGATTAAAACTGAGCAGTAAATGGGAGCTAATACATTTTATAACAGCCGTATTGAGATCTCATTCACATCCCTTACAATTCACCCATTGCAAGTCCACAATGTAGTGCTTTTTAGTGAATCCAGAGTTGTGCAACCATCAGCACAACCGATTTCAAAACATTTCATCACTCAGAAAAAAAATTTAAAAAAAACCAAAAACATTTTATGTCCATCACTCCATTAACCCCAGCCTGAGGCAACCACTAATCTGCTTTATGTCTCTGTGACTTTGTCTGTCCTGGACATTTCTTATAAATGAAGTCATATAATAAGTTGTCTTCTGTGATGGGAGCTAATATGTTTATCCTTCCCTAGAGGAGAAATTCGTATAGGGCAGCCGTGTGAATCCCTGTGAGAGGAGTTAGCTTGAAACGCAGGCAGATAGGACAGGGGCCCAGCGGGAAACCAAGGCAGGTAGAACGTAGACAGGAGCAGACACGGCAGTTTGAGCAAGCCTAGCCACACAGACAGCAACCATGCTGAAAAAAAACAAAATGTTTTTGGAGACAGAGCGGGAGGCATGGGAAGCCAAGGGAGGGCCTGTAGTTGAGATGTAGGTACACATAGAAACAGAGAAAGTTCAGGTCCATGGCTGGGCAAGAACAATGAGGGAATCCATCAGGTGGTGACATAGATAGATAGGGAGCAGGCTTGTGGCAAATATACACCCCTGGACTACCAGGCTTTAACGGGCAGCTCCTTATTGGATGTTTTTCCACCCCATTGTGAGGAGTCCAATGCTTGTAATAAATTTTCTAAATAAATAAATAGATTTTCCCACACTTTCGCTTAAATGTTCTGGTCCGAGGAGGTCATTGTTTGGCATCACAAGACACGACTCAGGGAAAACACCTCGGCTCACCATTCTGGTTATCACCGTTGGCCTACAAACACCGGCAGCTAGGCTGCTCAGCTTAATGCTATCTGCAGTCCTGACCACGGAAATCCTTTTCCTTTCCACGATAAAGCACCATCTACCATCCAAGTGTTACAACTTGCCATCTTATCGACCCACGTCTAACAGTGCCCTGTGAAGCAGGCATACAGAAGCCTAACCACTTGGTCAAAGTCACATGAGTGGTTACTGGTTCAAAGCAGAGATCCCTACCCAGGTCTGTCTGACTCCAGGATCTGGGATCTTAATCATTACATAGTCATGTTCCTGTGCATGACGAAATCCTATACCAGCGGTCAGCAAACTGTGGCTCGAGAGCCACATACGGCTCTTTGGCCCCATGAGTTTTTAGCAAAGGCCAGCTTAGGAGTACCCTAATTAAGTTAATAACAATGTACCTACCTAGTTTAAGTTTTAAAAATCTGGCTCTCAAAAGAAATTTCAATCGTTGTACTATTGATATTTGGCTCTGTTGACTAATGAGTTTGCCGACCTATACCTTTTGGGGGGAGTAGGAGTAATTCGCTTAATTTTTAAACAATTACTTTTTTGTTCTGGCTGGCTTACCGTTTCCATTGGAATCAAGAAGGATTACAGATTTGAGGGATTCTTTCCCTGACTACTGTTATTCATTCTGAACCTTCTTTTCTAGAAAACTGTACCGGTGGGAAGAGCAGCAGTTATCACTTGAGAAAAAAAAAAAAAATGTGTCACCAGCTGGCATGGGTCAAGGTTTGAGTGTCGACCTATGAACCAGGAGGTCTTGGTTCAATTCCCTGTCAGGGCACATGCCCAGGTTTTGGGCTCGATCCCGTGTGGGACCTGCAAGAGGCAGCCAATCCATGATTCTTACTTATCATTGATGCTTCTCTTTCCCTCTCTCTTCCTCTCTGAGATCAATAAAAGTATACTGGGAGAAATAAATGTGCCAGTGAATGAGCAGGAGGCTGTTGACTTACAGGTTGGTTAAAAACTTTAAAAGCATTCCTAAGCCCTTCATTATTGGTGTTTAGTTAAGATGCACCTTCTGTTCAGAGTTCCTGTGGGTGTGAAGGAAACAAGACAGGAGCTGCTCTCCCCTGGACACTGTGAAGCTTTCTGAGTGCCGGGCAACTCCCACTGCCTCTTGGAAATAAACGACGAGCAACAAGGAAGTGCGTGGGGGACCAACTCCCCGTAATTGAGAGTAATGCATATATTTAATCTGCCGTGTGTATTGCTACTGGGCTAGGCATGTGACTCAAATTCATATGATTCCAGAATTTCTACAGGAAGGGCCGGTGTTTTTGTTGGAAGAGGGCACCCGGGAGGGTGTTTTTGTACTAATTTTACAAAGTGGAGAGCACTGATTTTTCTTTGATTGCACATTTGTTTGGAGAAAGGGTTGTTGCTTTTGGAAATGACACTTTCCCACAGAAAGACACACACACTTCACGGCCCCTTCTTCTGCACTTAGCCCGAAGGGAGCTTAACGGGGCCTGATTAAGCAGAGAAAGTCATCAAACGTTCTTCGACAGCTCAGAAATCCCTGGGGTTGGGTTGAGTGGTAGGTGAAGGGTTCATGGCGGTGTCAAGTGCGTCCCCACCATCTCATCACTGTCCTCGCTTAACACTCACACTGACAGCCAGGAGACAAGCATTCATGCCCGAGACCTGAAGGGAGAAACACCTGGCTGTGATGGCCTACAGCCACACAGTTCCATTTTTATTAAATATCTCCATGGTCGTGGCTAGGACAGCAGAGACTTCCGGGGAAGCCAGGCTCTAAGGCAGTGGTTCTCAACCTTCCAAATGCCACGACCCTTTAATTACAGTTCCTCATGTTGTGGTGACCCCCAACTATAAAATCGTTTTCGTTGCTACTTCATAACTGTAATTTTGCTACTATTATAAATCATAATGTAAATATCTGTGTTTTCCGATGATCTTAGGCGACCCCAGTGAAAGGGTCATTCGACCCCCAAAGGGATCGCGACCCACAGGTTGAGAACCGCTGCTCTAAGCTCTGCCTTTCTGTCCCTTGCCCTGGCCTCCTTCCCACAGTCTACCTCAGAGGTTTCTAGCTTTTTTTCTACTTGCTGAGCACCCATATTCTTTATTTTTGTTTCCCCTTGCAAAGGGAAAAACATGGCATTGAGTTGTATGACTACTTCAGCCAGGTGCCACGTGATCTCTGCCTGCCCTAACTCTCAAAAACAGGGAAGAGGGGCCTGAATTCACAACTTACTCAATCAGAAAAACATTCCTTCAACTCTGGAAGGATGAAATAGCCTTCCAAGAAAACAAACCATGTAAGTTGGCCAGTTTCTGGCAATAGGAGAAAATTGGTAGAGGCTGGTGTGTGTCTATGGAAGACCTTACATTGCCTCAATGTATCCTTATCTAGAGCCGGTTGAGCTGGGAGACTGGGGGAGGAGGGGTCACTGGGTAACTTAAAGCAATAAAGACATGAAAGAGCTATATTAAACTCTGGTGACCCATGTTTAACCCCAAAACTCACTAGTCCATAAACCCTATGAGGACGGGGGTTTTGTTGTTCAGAACTTACAAGGCTGTCAATAAAAAGTAAAAAATAAAAATTGTTGCATAAATCTGTGAAAGCCAATTGGACCGATGATGTGGATGATAGACAGAGCTGTTGCCACCTGCTGAAAGGATTTCCAGTGAGAAGATTGGAGGCCAGTCAGTCCCTCTTGTCTCCACTCCAAGGAAGGCTACTGCACACATCACTCCTGCCACTGTCAATGCTGTGAAGTATGCTTAGTTGTCATTATTGATTATCTAGTCCACATGTGTCAAACACAAGGCCCGCGGGCCAAATCCGTCCCGCCAGGCCTTGCAATGTGGCCCGCACCGCGCTGTCATCACTGCACTCTGCTGCGTTTCCATCACAATGACAGTTTATGACTGTTCAGTAAACCATTCGGCCCGCGATTTAGGCTGGATTTTAGATTTTGGCCCCTTCTCTGATTGAGTTCGACACCCCTAATCTAGTCTGTGCCAGATGGCATGCCAGGCAATTGACCTTCATATTGAAATGGAACTTCACATTGACCCTGTGAGGTAGAGGGTCATCCCATTTTATAAATAATACAGCTAAAGCTCACAGAGGGAATTTGTTCACAGTTTCCCAGTTAACAAAGAGCAAAGTAAAGGTTTTCATGTAGATCTCACCAGCCCCAAAGTTCACTGTTGTGTGGTGTGGTTTGTTTTACGACACAACCAAGGTGTAAAGGGGAGAAGGATATCTATTGGTGTGTTGTTAGTGAGAGATCCTAAAGGGAAACCAGGGGCCTTGTTATGAGAAAAGAAGAATGTGAGTCCACCGTTTCCATTTTAGTGGTATCATGTGTGGGATTGATGTTGTGAGCTAGTATTATATTCTTCTAGAATTCATGTCAAGTTTGTAATGCAGGATCCGACATTTGTAAGGGTTCTCACTCATTTATGTGTAATTCCAGGCATAGATATCTTCTCTGAAACAGGTATCAAGTCTTCTTTCTTCCCAGCTCAGGAGCTCCCACCTGAAGGGCAGAAGTTGGGAGTGGGGGGTGGAGATTGGGGGAAGGAAATGGCCAGGGGAAAGGAGGAAGTAAAGACAGAGAGGAGGGAGGAGCTCTCAGATTCGTCTTGTGGGTTCATTACGCCGGAAAGGTGAGTCCCAGAAAGCCATATTCAGCAGGTAACGGGCCTGGGCTGTGTGACTCAGCAGCCTCCAGCATGGCAGCCACCCTGAGTCGGATGAAGGAAGCGGAGATCCCCAAGGCCTGAGTGAGGCTTGTAAAGAACTCACTGAAACGCATGGCAGAGCTATTCATTGTCCCATGGACATGCTTCAAGACTGGGCTCAGAAGTCATCCAAGGAGAGGGTGCCTTGATCCAAGTTTATAGTGTGCGTGAACCAGCGGCCCAGCATCTGCCAGGAGGCCCTAATGCCATGTGAACTGGGAAACGCACAAAGTGCTGCTGAGCCACAGCCCATTAGTAAAGGGCTACTGGCTCCCAAAGGCTCTGGGATTTAGATGCTCAGCCTCCACAATGAGGCTGCTTCATGCTCCTCTGGCTTCTTCCACTGAAGCGTCCCTGAGTGCTTTCCCAGGGCGGGTGCTTTATCCCATTAGGATGAGCCTCAGAGAAGCCAAGTCTTGCCTGCAGCCACCCAGCAAGTTGGTTCCGGAGGGCGGGATTGAGACTCAGACCACCCAGACCTCCCAGCCCAGTGGTGTGACCATCGATGGCACATACCCCACCGCCCTCACCCCCACCCCAGGGACTCTAGAGGACAGCAGAGGCCATGGGCAAGCCTCCTTGTGTGGGACTTCTTTATTATTTTTTTAAATTTTATTGATTATGGTATCACATAGTTGTCCTCATCCCCCCATTTCTATCCCAAACCCCTCCCCACATATGCCCCCACCCCCCTGTTGTCCATGGCCACTGGCTAGGCCCATATGCACGCACACAAGTCCTTTGGTTGATCTCTGCCCCTTTCCTCCACCCTCCCCTATCTTCCCTCTGAGGTTTGACAATCTGATCGCTGCTTCTCTGTCTCTGGGTCTGTTTTTGTTCATCATTTTATGTTGTTCATTATTTCCTCTAGATGTATGAGATCATGTGATCCAAGAAATACCCTTGTGAGAACCGAAACTGAGACAAGCCATAATGGTTATGCTGAGATAGACAAAGGGGACAGGGCAGGTGGCAGGGTGGAGCATTGCCCATCCGCCAGCACGGCAGGGAAAACAACTCCGAGCACACGTCCTACCTCAGGTGTGTCGGTGGCATTTTCTCAGCAAATGAAGGACATCAGAGCTGAGACGAGGAGTTGCATAACCATGAAATGCTGGAGTTGGAAGGAGCCCTGGGAGAGCATCACACCAGTTTGTTTTGTTTCTTGGTGAGGAGATGGGGGTCCAGAAAGATTGACTCATGCTCAAGGTCACGTAGCTGGCTCAGGCCTGAGAGAGGACTGGAGCTCATGTACCTTGGGCATTGACCTTGTGCTCTTTCCCAATGCTCTTTCCTCACCAGAATCACCTGTCCTTTGATAGCACTTTGAAACCAAGTCCATCAGCCCCTCCAACACTGGCCTAAAGCTCTTCCCCTCTGCTGTCTTGCCTTCAGAACTGAAATGACGGGAAGGAACCAGAGTGAAGGGATGGTGAGCCCTGCTCAGACCTGTAACCTAAGACTGCAAACCTCCCGATTCATCTACTCATTTGGTTTTGGAGTCAACATGAACAGAGCCATGGGAAGACCAGCTGGGAGGTCTCAGGGAGCCAGCTTCTGTGCTGGCGAACCCCTTCTCACTGCTGAGTCCACCGCTCTGGGGCAGGTGCCTCAGGAAGAAGTGTTCTCGGGCTTCTTGCCGGGGCCTTCTATCCACGGAGTGATGATCATGGCTCTCGGCAAAGGGGGCAGCTGCCAGCAAGAGGCTTTCCCATCCCTCACCCACCAGGTGTTCTTCCCAGCAACCGCATCGGCTTGGCAGGGAGTGCCCCAGTGGTGCTGGGATGGGCAAAGAGGTGCAGCTCTCGCTCCTCTTCAGTCCAGGTGTCAACAGATGGGATATAGAGATGCCCCTCCCTTCACAAATAAAAAAGACTTTTATAGGCTGATTAATCCGCAGGGGATGAGCCAGACTGTCAGTTACCCAGGGTTTCCAGCCAGGATCTGAGCTCAGTGCTGGATGGGTTCCTGGGAGCTGCTACTTGTCCTTTCAAACTCCCCCTCCCTTAGGCACAACACCACCCCAAACTTATCCTCCTGCTTTCCCACCTGTGAAATGGGCCAGGAGACGGGCTCTGGGGTCCTTTTCCTCCAATTCATTGCCAATGCCAGGCCTCTGAGTGAGATGGGCAGTCTGACAGGTAAGGAGGGGCACTGCAGGTGGACAAGTCCAGGTGAGAAGCCAGGTCTTTGTGTCTGGCATGCTCTCCTCCCAGCTTCCTGGGAGAGAGCAAGAGTTCATAGAGGGCACATGGGAAGTCCAGGCTAGGACCCGGAACCACAGGGCCTGACACACTTGTTCAGGCGTCACCAAACCTTCCAGAACTTCAGTGTGTTCGTCTACAAAATGGGGATGGGAACCACCTCCAATGAGTTGGGACAAATGAAAGCTTTTGAAAGGCTGATGCGTACTTGGTGGAGCCCTCGTTTCACTCCTGTTGGGGTGGGGGGGTTACAAAGGAAGTGGGTCCTGAGGCTTCCGTTTGCCCTCCGACCCCATTTCTATAAATAAAGATTCTCCTAGCACTGGGTCAGGTATTGCTCACAGGAGCAATGTACCAAGTCCCTCATTCCAAGGAGGGAGAGTAGAATAACTCCTGATAGCCCCTGAGGGTGATGTGCCCATTGATCGGGACCACAGTGCCTCGGCCTTCCGTGTGCCCATTGATGGACCATATCCAATAATGACGAGAGACCTTTCCTGCCCAAAAGCAAGCTAAGCACCTGGGAGAACCCAGCAACCCAGCCCCTCCGAGTTGTCGTCCACCTTCCAACTTCTGCCTTCATCAGCAGCGCCCGAACCTTTGACACCTCCAAGCCTGTTTCTTAGCACGGGGTCACGGCGGGGTGAGCCGTCAATTCCCTAGCGCTAGACAAACGCACCTCTTAGTCAGAACCTCCAGATTTTTTATCTCCCAAGCAATGAATTGGCACTTTTCACCGAAGGAGTGACTCCCCGGGCCCTTTATAGCCTCATTAAGCTCCGTGACTTACTGACTCTCCTGTTTAATGGAAGCCAAAGCCGGTTAAGTGGTCACAGCTGCCAGGAACTCGGTTCAAGAGGAAAACTTTCTGAGCAGGTCAGGAGTAGCTGCACTAATCTCCGCGCCCGCGCCCCTCCCCTGCCCTTATCTCAGGCTTGTTTTGACAGCTCAGAGCCGGGTCCCACGAGAAGAACCTCAACATCGCTCCTTTCCCTTTTCACGTCTTTCGCTCCAGCCCAGCGTTTGCCGCAGGGGGAGAGGGAAGAGACAATCAAGCATTGTCTTGTTCT